GCTCTTCGGAAAGAAAGCCTCTATGCAAACCTTAAGAAATGCTCGTTCTGCACAAACAAGTTGGTTTTTCTAGGATTCGTGGTCAGCTCTCAGGGGTTGCGAGTCGCGTCAAGGCCATTCAGGAGTGGCCGACGTCGTCCACGATCAGACATGTACGAAGTTTTCTCGGCCTCGCTAGTTTCTATCGCCGATTTGTCTGAGACTTCAGCAGTATCGCTGCTCCCCTTATCGCAATCACTAAGAAAGATGTGGTCTTTGAATGGGGTGAGGCTCAAGAGCGCGCATTCTCCGCTCTCAAGGACAGCCTTACTACCGCACCGGTCTTAGTCCTTCCAAACTTTGACAAAATGTTTGAAATAGAGTGCGATGCCTCCGGGATTGGCATTGATGCCGTCCTCATGCAAGAGAAGAGGCCCCTGGCCAACTTTAGTGAGAAGCTCAGTGCAGCTACGCTAAACTATCCGACCTACGACAAAGAGCTCTACGCTCTTGTGCGTGCTCTAGCGACTTGGCAGCATTATTTGCTCGCCAAAGAATTTATCGTGCATTCGGATCATGAGACCCTTAAGCACCTCAAGGGATAGACCGCTCTTAAGTGTAGGCACGCTAAGTGGCTTGAATTCATCGAGACTTTTCGGTACGTCATTAAGTACAAGAAGGGAAAGGATAATGCCGTCGCTGATGCATTATCTCGACGCCACACTCTGATATCGGTCATGGAGACTCGGACGTTTGGATTCGAGTACTTAAAAGATCAATACTGGACCGATCCCGATTTTGGTTCCATCGTCTCCGAGTGCGGAAACGGTGCATGGGGCCCGTTGTATTTGCACGATGGTTACCTCTTCCGCGACAAGCGGCTTTGTATCCCTCAAGGATCGATGAGGAATATCATTCTCCACGAGGCTCATGGCGGCGCCCTCGCTGGCCAGTTTGGAGTTGAAAAGACATTGGCCGCCATACACGACCATTTCTATTGGCCGCACCTCAAGAGGGAGGTCTAAAGATTCTGTGCTAAGTGCGTCGATTGCCTTAAGGCAAAATCAGAACGCAACCTCATGGACTTTATATGCCATTACCTATCCCTACTCATCCTTGGGTAGACGTGTCGATGGACTTTGTACTTGAGCTGCCCAAGATCCAACATAAGGACTCCATTTTTGTCATCGTCGACCGGTTTTCGAAAATGGCTCACTTTTTGCCGTGTGCTAAAATGGACGATGCTAAGCACATAGCCAATCTCTTCTTTTAAGAGGTCGTGAGACTTCACGGCATACCAAAGACGATAGTGTCGGATCGGGACTCTAAGTTCCTAAGCCACTTTTGGCGGACGTTATGGAAAACGATCGGCACTAAACTCGTCTATTTTACCACTTGTCATTCGCAGACGGATGGACAAACCGAGGTCGTAAACCGGACTTTATCCGCGCTTTTGAAAGCCACCCTCGGTAAACATGTAGGGAGTTGGGTTGAGTGTGTTCCTCATATCGAGCTTGCTTATAATCGTGCCGTTCACTCGGCCACGAAACACTCCCCATTTGAGGTCATCTAAGGCTTTAATCCGACTACTCCCTTAGATCTCGTCGCCCTTCCGAATGACAAGCTAGTTAACCTCGATGGAGCCCGAAAGGCTGCTCGTTAAGGCACTCGATCAGCAGGTTCGTGAGAACATTGCTCACAGGACCAAACAATACGCGCGACAGGCGAACAAAGGATGCAAGGTGGTCCAATTCAAAGAAGGAGACTTGGTGTGGCTACACCTTCGAACCGAACGTTTTCCCGACAAGCGCAAGTCCAACCTCTCACCGCGAGGAGACGGTCCCTTTAGAGTCTTAGAGCGAATCAATGATAATGCTTACCGTCTAGAACTTCCCAGTGAGTATACTGTATCTCCTACTTTCAATGTCTCTTATTTACTTCCTTTTGATGCAATTACCGACATTTCATGGGCGAAATCTTCGCAAGGGGGAGGGAATGATGAGGACATCCGGAGCTCGGACGAGGGACTTGAAACGGAGCAAGGAGCGAAGCAAGGAGCTTTGGAGAATGTTGCTCGATCGGCCGAACATTCGGCGTCTCTGTCGACCGATCGCCACTTGCCGATACACAGGACGTTCCACTATCATCTCGGATGTCCAACCCCGTCATCGCATCCAACGGACCATATACGAAGCCTTCACGAGTATCACATCGGGCCGAGCCTCCACTCACTCGTGCCAAAGCTTCGGCCATTCGTAACTCACTTATGTCCGACTTGGAGTTCCACCTTGACGGGACACGGGGCCTTGACACGTCATTCCTGAGCGACGCCAATCTCAAGTCTCGGAATGTCTTCGCGTGTCATCTTACGGAGCCAACTCTACAGGACTAACGGATCACGAATATGGGCTGCACGTATTTAGGCCCAACAACCATATTTCTAAGTCAAAATTAGCATTAATGTCCTGGGCTCTACATGGCTTGCATGCCATTTATCATTTAATGCTTTGCCTTTGAGTAATTTCTACTTAATCCCCTCTCCCTCCTCTTGTAAAGTTACACTTTGACAATCGGAAATTTTCCTTTGGTTAATTGCCATTGTTTGAGGTTGAGCTTTCTCCCTCCTTGTCGTCGACAATGTGTCCGTTAGCCTAAGGCTTGGTGTGTCCGGCCTTGCCCCGGTTTCGGTGTGTCCGAGCCCACCCTTGGTGTGTCCGAGGTCTATCATTCGAACATCTACTCCATCCTCATCTCCTTCGTCTTCTTCCTAGCCAGAATATCCTTGAGAAATTTGCCATAAGAGGGCATTTGAGTGATTACCTCATGAAAAGGTATTGTGACCTCCAATTTCTTTATCATATCCGTGAAGCGCTTAAACTGGTTGGCCTCTTTTTGTTGCACAAGTCGTGAAGGGAATGGAACTAGAGGAGGTCTGGGAGGTGGAGGTACATACTTTGGTTCTTCCTCACATGTCATCTTAACTGGAGTATCTGCAGACTGAATGTTAGAGGTGATCGTAGATCTAGAGTAAGAAAACTCACCTTTTTCAGGAGTAGGAGGGACGACATCCTCAAGTTGCTTCCTGCTTCTCAAGAACACTGCATTGCAGTGCTCTCTAGGATTTGTCTCGGATTTCCCGGGAAGTGATCCTTGAGGTCGCGAAGGTATAGAGGCTGTGAGTTGAGCCAACTGGTTATCGACAAGCTTCAAGTGGGTGTCGGTCTCTTGTTGATGTTTACGCATCTCGGTGCGAATAGCTTCTTGACCCTGCATAAGCTGTGCAAACATAGATTTAAGATCGAGGGCAGAATCTACCTGTGGTGGAGGCGGAGAAAGAGCATAATTCTGCTGAGACTGAAGAGGTGCTAGATAGTGTTGAATGGCTTGATTCTGATGCTGCGAGACAGCTCGAGATCGAGGTTGATATCCTTGAGAAAGACCCTGATTAGCCGGACCACCAAAATTTTCGAGGGGAGTATTCAAGACGTCGGAAGAATTCTTGTACGAGAAGTTTGGATGATTCTTCCACCCCGGATTGTACACATTCGAGTACAGGTTGTTATCTACGTAGTAGACATCTTCGATCATGTACCCGTTGGCTGATGTGTCTAAATCTGAGATCTGATGGGCATTCTCAACCTGCATTTTAAGTTTTGCCAATTCTGCACGTAATGCATGAATTTCAGATAGACTTTCCTTACCTGCACGACTGTCTTTGAGGCTAACGTTTCTGATAAACTCGTGAGAGGGAGCACACTCGTTGGCCATCTTGTTGATTTGTTGCTCTATGAAGTCGAAGGACTTTTCGTTGAGGCTTCCTCCACATGCTACTCGAATAAGAACCCGAGTGTCCTCCTTTAATCCCTGCAATAAAGTGGAAATAAGGTACCTTTTATCCCATCCATGGTGAGGACATGTTCTCTGGTATCCTTGAAAGCGATCCCAAGCTTCACGTAAGGATTCATCAGGTTCCTGCAAAAATGAGTTAATCTGTTGTTTCGGAGCTGGGTCTTGCTAGCGGGGAAGAACCGCTGCATGAACGTTTCTTGCATCTGTTCCCATGAGAATATGGAATCTGGAGGTAGTGTGTAGAGAGATTCCAGAGCAGTATCCATTAAGGAGAATGGAAAGGCCATGAGCATGAGAGATTCATCGGTAACTCCGTAGACTGTCCTCACCGACTGGCATAGTCTGCCTCTGAAAGCCGATGAGCTCAGCATATTGATGAATGCTGGTTGAAACTCAAAATTGTTACGGTCGATGTCAGACCGACGAATGCATGAAAGCTGCTGACTATACTTAGGCTGGAGGTATGCCCCATAAGTGTCATTATTGTTCTCAGCAACTATAGCACGTTCATCCATCTTTCTTTGTTGTCGTTTCTTCTTTCGACTGCGCTTAGCGGACTTCTCGATTGCAGGGTTAAGAGGTACTAGGTTGTCAAACCCAGAACTCCTGGTCATACACCGAAAACCTACACACCAGAAAGTAGAACAAACACAAAGAATAGATCAAGAAATCGAGGAAAAACAAAAAAGAAAAGGGATTTAGATTCAAAGGAATCTTTATCCTAGCGCTAAACTATTCCCCAGCAACGGCGCCAAAAACTTGATAATGCAAATCTAGGTGTATAAATAAGCTCAAGTAATAAAAACCTAGATACAGCGAACACCGCAAGGATACGGATCAACTGTAGTACCAGGGTCAAACACAGAGAATAGTTAACACTAAGAACAAGACTCGACTAAGAATTAGATCAGGAAATAACAAATGAAATATATGAATACCGAAAACAAATCAATAAACAAACTAAGTAAATTCAGATAACTAAACCACCGTAGCTTCGGGATAACCTTAACACGTAGGAATTATTTCTAAGGGTGGAGATGTTGGTTGTAATGCTCTAGGATGATCCTTGATATGACATTTCGACTTTGTATTGATTCATTGGTTTATAAATGCATTACTTTTTCTCGTTATATAATTGGCATGTTTGTTATATTTCGATATCCTTGAATCGTTACAGAATGATTCTAAACTCCCTGGTCAGTTATCATTGCGGGAACAATGGTGAATTAAGACTATCATGAGGTGTGATCGATGCATTGAATGCATATCACAATCATGGGTACTCATTGTGAACGAGTGACTGGATGACCCGCATGAGATTGTCACATGGACAGAGTCATGACTTGAATCTCATACAGCGGTTCGTTCTTGGATCCTCATACCTGAGATGTCTAGAGTATCTGATATGAGGAGTGACGTGTCTTGACTGCGTCAAACGTCGTCTTTAACCGGATGATTATAACGGCGTTGATCAGGTATGTTCACGAATCATATGGAGATAGTAGGCATGCAATATGAGACTTGTCATCTCCTTAACAGAAGAGATATTGATGGGCCCTCTCGTGGAAGTCGGACTATGAAAAACGCGTGGCCACGCTATAGATGAAGTTGCATCTATTTTATTAGTCGATTTGCCAAGACGAGAAAGCAGTTGAACTTGAAGGGTGGCTCAAACCATGCCCTTGTTCAACATATGATATCGTGAGACAAAGGACCAGAACTTGATCCGTTAATGCCTTGGTTAGATCACCTCTAACTCAATTCTAAGTGGGTGGTCATGGCATCTTGCTAGAGGCTAACCATGACTTGTGGTTCGGAAAACGTTCCGAAGTCACTACCGCTTAGAATGGGCCTACAGGGTCACACACCACTAAGGATGGACTTATACGTGAAGAATCCGAAGAATGGAAACGAGATTTGGCCGAAACGAGCATGAAAAGGAGTGTTCAGCATGTTGGTTAGTCCAGGTGGTCCGAAAGTGTGGTTCGGGGTCATTTGTCCAGGTCTGGTCTGGCTTACCAAGAGTTGGTCAGCTCCGGACCAGACGCTAGGTCAGGCGGACCGAGGACATGTGAGTCGGACTGAGCTGACGAAGAAGAAACTTGGTCCGGAGCTGATCAAACCTTGGTCAGCCGGACCAAGCCTTCAAATCAGGCGGTCCGCGAGCCTCGAACTTAACTTGGTCCGGCGGACCGGGATTTAGAAATTTTCCAAATTTCGGTTTTAGGGTTTTTTAAGCTTATTTAAGTTTGGAATTTCGTCCAAACTTAATTAAGGCCGCCTTAAAACTCAGAGAGACATCTAAGAACCCTAGAGAATTCACTCTTTTCATTTTTGAGCTTCTCGGGATTAGATTCGGTCTCTTGAGTTACCCTTTTCTTCACTAATCCTAGCAGATACGTTCCAAATCGTTTGGAATCCTTCCCGTCGGTGTGGATACGTGTAGAGGGACTGTAACTTCAGTCCTAGGTGATTAAGAACAGGCCCCGGATCGGAATTTGCTTCAAGTTTCATTGAGAACGAGGTAAATAACGATTCCCTCGGTGATATACACGATTTTGCGGGGTTTTGCCAAGTTTGGTTGCGTGTGACGTTTGACTAGGTTTAGATCTTTCTTCCGCTGCATGAAACCTAGTAAACCAAACCCTAGATCGATATGATCGCATGCTAGGAACCCGCAGGAATCCCAACAGTGGTATCAGAGCCTAGTTCTCTATATATCGCCGTGCTTGTCGTTTGATTGCATGATTTTAATCGTTAAATTGCATGTAATCATTGAATCTATGCATGTTTAATGATATTTGTGATTGTTGAATGATGCATGGATGGTATGGAGTCTGGGACGGGTTAACGGTGCAACGAAATGGGGGTGAAACCCTAATTTTTGAAACCCGAAAAATCTGTCCCGAATCTGATCTATCCGCGGTCAGCCGGACCAACAGGCAGATCGGATTCCGGACCGCGAGATTGGTCAGGAGGACCAAATTCCTCGCTGGTCAGCTCCGGACCAAAAGTTAGTCCGGCTGACTAAGCGAAGGCATCCCAGGTCCGAGATGAGGATTGGCGGACTGACCAAAAGAAGCGGACTGAGTTGGTCCGGAGCTGGCCAAGTTTGGTCAGCCCCAGACCAAGCCCAGTTGGTTTGCGCTCCGCTTCCTCTGGTCAGCTCGGAGTTGAAGGAACGGACCAAGCTCAGTTTTTGAACAGTCTAGAGCTCCGATTCCTGGTCAGCTCGGAGGAGAGAAGAAGACTGAGTTGGTCCGGACCAAGCTCAGAATATTTCTCAAAATGGACAGAACGGCGGACCAGAGAAGCTGACTGAAGTCAGTCCGGCGGACCAGATTCTGGTCAGCTCCGGACTAGACCTCAGACACTTCTCAAGTTCGAAATTTTGTCCTTTTTCCTCATGATCAATCTCAAGCTATTACCGCCCATTAGTAGAGCAGCTGTCAAGGCCTCGATCGTCATGGTTACGGGTCATGCCCTAGCTGAGCGTGCCTGACTATCTTGATGAGGCAGTATGGAGAAATAAATCTTGATTCTCATAACTCGAATATGGTTGAGCTTGAATTGGGTTATCAAGTCGGACTTGGACCTAATGGTAAGGATGGAATGAGGAACATGCAGTGATAGCGTATCACTATCCCATACTCATCGAGGAGTCATATATGATATGATTGACAATGTGTTGTCTACCTAAATAGCATGGTTTTAAGCGTCATGCCCTAGCTGACTCAAAAGCATGTGAAATATGGATCCTAGCTCACTTAGAAACTCATTGAGGGTGTTTTTCTTAGTGGGAGCCTGTCATATTGCATCTATTATCTGTGATAGTATGTGTACTAAGTGACTTGCATGTTTTTTGTCTGTTTGTTTGTTTTTTTTCTATAGAATATGACTGCTGTAGGTAATCTGGCTAATCTCTCCATGCGATCCATCCTGGATCGGGAGAGACTCACTGGTGGAAACTTTCTCGACTGGTACCGCAACCTGAGAATTGTTCTCAGGCATGAGCGGAAGCTCTACGTGCTGGAAGAAGCACATCAATGACAACCTGGACGTGACCTGCCTGATGTTCGGATCTATGTCGGCTGAGTTGCAGAAACAACTCGAAGGAATTGATGCCTTCGAGATGATCGAACATCTCAGTACTATGTTAGAGGAACAGGCAAGGGTCGAGCGATTTAACGCCCTTAAGAACTTGGTCAACTGTAAGATGGCCAATGGTTCGCCCGTGAGTACTCATATCCTCAAGATGAAGGGTTATCTAGAGGATCTTGACAGACTAGGGTTGGATGTTAGTCGTGAATTGGCAGTAGACCTAGTTGTTTAATCCGTTCCGGATAGTTTTGACCAGTTTGTCATGAACTATAACATGCATGGGATGGAGAAGGACTTGACCGAGCTACATGGGATGTTGCGATCGGCCGAGCAGAACATCAAAGTCGAGAAAAAGAAAAGAGTTCCAACAAAAGGAAGCGTTCCAAGAGCAAGAAATGCAAGGGCAAGACGACAATTGTTGCCGCCGAGCCTAAGTCTAAGGCTGAGAAGGGAGAGTGTCATTTCTGCCATGCCATCGGGCATTGGCGCAGAAACTGCAAACTCTACCTGGAAGATCAAAAGAAGAAGAAGCTTGCAGAAGCTTCAATGGTTGGAAAGAGTTCCAACAAGAGGAAGCGTTCCAAGGGCGTGAAAGGCAAGGGCAAAACGGCAAGTGTTGCCGCCGAGCCTAAGCCGAAGGCTGAGAAGGGAGAGTGCCATTTCTGCCATGCTATTGGGCATTGGCGCAGAAACTGCAAACTCCTGAAAGATCTGAAGAAGAAGAAGCTTGCATAAGCTTCTTCTTCAGGTATCTTCGTTATAGAGGCTAATTTGTTTACTTCTACATCATGGGTATTAGATACCGGATATGCCTCACACATTTGTGGAAATGTGCAGGGCTTGAGAAGAAGTAGGCAGCTAGCGAAGGGAGAAGTGGATCTCCGCGTCGGGAATGGAGCAAGAGTTGCTGCGTTGACCGTTGGGACTTATGATCTTACTTTACCTTCTGGACTTGTGTTAGAATTACATTATTGTTATTTTGTACCTGTCATTAGCAGGAATATTATTTCGATTTCATGTTTGGATTCTGATGGTTTTCGTTTTGTTATTGAGAACAAAACTTTATCTATTTATAGAGGCGCTTTATTTTATGGTAATGGTTACCTGTTTAATGGACTTTATATTTTGGATGATAAATGTCTGGACACAGTTCGATCTATAACGTTAGTACCAAGCGGTTTAAGCCGAACGACTTAAACCCGACCTATCTCTGGCATTGTCGACTTGGTCACATCAATGAGAAACGCATAGCGAAGCTTCATTCTGATGG